AAAAGGGAGAGGGAGATGGAGAAGGAGAAGAATAGCGAGAGGGAGACGGAAAAGAGAGAGGGAGACGGAGATGGAGAAGAAGAGGGAGAGGAAGACGGAGAGGGGTGGAGCTGCTGTGAGGCCCCTCTGTGTTTGTTCGGGTGGCCGTGCTAACTGTGCTAACCATGCTAACCATGCTGACCGTGCTAACCGTGCTGACCGTGCTAACCGTGCTTGCCGTGCTAACCGGGCTAAGCATGCTAACCGTGCTAACCATGCTGACCGTGCTGACCGTGCTAGCCGCGCTGACCTCTGACCCCCTCTGTGCCGCAGGCGCCTCGGAGCTGAGCTGCAGGGAGCTGCGCTCCACCCGCTACATCACCGACGGCTCCTGCCGCAGCAGCAAGCCGGTGCGGGAGCTGCTGTGCTCGGGCCAGTGCCTGCCCGCCCGCCTGGCGCCCAACTCCATCGCCCACCGGGGCAAGTGGTGGCGGGGCGGCGCGCCGGACTACCGCTGCATCCCGGCGCACGCCCGCATGCGCCGCGTCCAGCTGCAGTGCCCCGGCGGCGGCGCGCGGACCTACAAGATCCGCGTGGTCACCTCCTGCAAGTGCAAGCGCTTCCGGCCCCACCACAACCAGTCGGACGCCAAGGAGGCGCCCAAGGCCCAGCGGGGCCGCAAGCAGGACCGCAGCAAGAACAGCACGCCGCTGACCGCCAACTCCTACTGAGGTTTTGAGGTTACCCACAAACCCAGAAACACATACCCCACCCCCCACCCCGCAACCCACCCAGGCCCCGAGTCTGGAAAAAAACAACCCATAAGCTAGTTTTGAGGCTGATCAGAAGCGGTCAGCCGGCGTATTTGTGAACTCATCTGCGGGACGAAAGGAGCTAGCGCCCGGCCGGGAGGTGTCGGACCTCGGCCTGAGCCCCCCCCCGAACTCGGCCGCCTCTCCAAAATCAGGCAAAACACACAATAAGAAACCCTCCCCGAGGCTCTTCGGCCTCCATCTGTGCAAACATCCAGCGGATGCGCCGGGGCTCTGTTTACGGCTGGGAAGGTGTATCAGTGCTCCAGAGGGGCTGTTACCCCCCCTCCCGCCCCCCTCTTTAGGGTTTTGGGGGGGGGGGGGGCGACGGCAGCTCTGGGCTCTCTGACAGTGGGACGCTGACGGGGCTTTTTATCCAGGCGGACGGAGTCGGGACGGAGGTAGAAAACGCATCTCCGAGATGCTCCGGGCTCTCCCGTGACTCCTCTTAATCAGCCCGTTCCTGTGTTAGGATTAGAGTTATAAAAAGCCCGTTTCCTCTCGACGTCGCCGGTTCCTGTTTGCTGGAATCACTCGGAAAAGAAAAAGTCCACATGGTGTGTGGGAGGCATCAGAAAGTGTGCATGGTTATGTTGCTACCTAGGGGCAGAACGCTCTCCAACACGCCCACACTGGAATTCTCTTTTGCGGGATCAAACCGTCCACAGCCAGAATCCATCTGTTGTATAAGACACCTCCACTCCTCTCAGCGCCCGCTCTGTAAATAGCTCCGGCGGGGAAAGACGGGAATAAAGACGCCAGAGAACCAGAGCAGCGATGCCTCGGACTGGACTTTTCCGCCCGATGTTCACACCTAGTCTCCTCGTTTTGTCGCTTTCTGATTTCAGCCGTCAAAACTTTTCCCGGCAGGTGTTTGCTTCTTTCTTTCTTATCCTGGCTGTGTGTTTCCGGAAAAGCAACTGGAAGGCGTGTACATATCATACATGTGGTCCTGGAGAGGCAGAGGGAAGGGGAGAGGGGGGAGGGGGGGGGGGGTTTGCCTTCAGACACAAAGAAGGACAGTTAAAGAATGAACTGCGTATTTATTTTTTATGTCCACATTTAAATTATTTATGCAACCTTTTGTAGTAAATGATAGCCATTATTGTCATATAGTGTGATAGAGACATGGAAAAGTGGAAAAAAATGTACAGAACATGAATAAAGTAAAGGCAGATATATTTGAAAGAACCGTCTTGTTTGGAATCTTTTGTATTTTGGTCATTTCTTTTTGGTTTTAAATGGAAATAATGCTCTCAAAACATGAGATGATGTGACTGCAAGTCCACTTTGTTGTGGCTGACTGAGATGGACCTTAAAGTCAACTTTTTTTCATTTTCATACTTTTTAGCCTTGTGAATGACAAAAAGCAAACAGTTTGGGTGTTCATGCTGGTTAGAGGCTGAGAATGTGTCCCTGTGCTGTGGTTTACCGGAAGATTTTCTACCAAAATTATGCCAAAACCTTCCACTTATTATTATTAACAATTATTTTTATGTGTGGATTGTTCAGGGTGAGTCCACCAAAAAGAACTCTTTTAACTTTAATGTGTCCACAGGAAATTTTAGAAATCATCTCTGGCTTGTTTAGATGTTGATTTGATGAAGTGTCAAAGCAGCCTCTTCTTGGCCTCAGACTTGGCTTTTTTTTTGTTTGTTAATTATGTCATGAAGTGTGGAAACGAGGACCGAAAACCCTCCCTTTTCTTTTTTTTTTCTGCTGGCTGGAATGAATTATTTTAATGCTGGGCAGCTGCTCAGAGGCTGCTGATACTAAGCAGGAGAGTCAGCTTTGGAATTGGCCTGATGAGGCTTTTTTTACGACAAACGTGGACAAACGAGGCCGCATTTGTGTCTCCTCCTTCACTGACAGTTTAAAAAAGCACCTTCCGGCTCAGTTCATCATCTCCACTCCAAACCCTCTGAGCATAGATGTCCGAACTTGTGCATAACACCTCTTTTTATGGTCTCTATTTGTGAAGGAATAAGCAATCAAACAAAGGAACAAAACAAAATATGTGTCTTCTATACAGACGATACTAAACATATACAACAGTGTGCGTTTGCTTTATGATGTATGATAAATAAAATTAAAGTTGGTCAGAATATGTGTCGAGAGTTCCCTCTGAGCTTTTTTGTTGGTTGCCTTAAAACTTCAATGTCTTAAAGATAAATGTTTTGGTTAAAATTATGCTAAACTACATTAAAAGTGAAGGTTTAAAAAAAAGAAAAGATTTACTAAAGTTTCCTTGTTTTTACTCCCTTTTCATCATGAATATCTCAAACTAAACTCAGTCCTAATTCATGTATATCACAGAAACAGTTGTGAATATTTAGGATAAATAAACTAAAGTCATGCTAAAATCCCAAAGAACACCAACTTACATTTTAAAACTGGTTGGTTCACAGTCTGTAAATGGTTAGAAAGTTACTTTTTAGGCTCCAGAGATGCAAAAGAACACAACAATTTTCAGTATTATGGATCTTTTTCTTATAAAGACATGAAAGCATTTGACTTTTTATGTAAAATGACACAAATATGGAGCTATTGAGGCTCTACGCTGGCGAGAAAAAGCTTCTGGTAAAAGTCGTAAAAGTCGCAGCTGAAAAAATAGATGAAGAATAACAATGAAACGTATTCCTTTAACGCGTAAGTGGGAGAACTTCATGTTGGTCAAAGGGTGGAATACATCTAGGCTTGTAAAGCAGAAAATAATGACAATCACAGAGCTGCTCCGGCTACTGTACTGACAGACTGCTCCCATGTATCTGCAACCTGAGACCATGGCGATGCCTTCAGGGACCACGGGCCGTGGACTTCAAACGGATATGAATTGGCTATTTTAATTCAAAATGCCAGTCTGAACATTTGAATAACATGTTCAAATGGATGTTGAAAACAAAAAACGCTAACTTCAAGCCCGGTTTAGTCAGTTCGGGTCCAGACATCTGCGGACCATTTAAATGCCTTCAAGGGATCTTTTTTTTTTTTTTTTTTTTAAATGAAAAACGCTCATGATGAGCTGACTGCCTCTGCTTTGTGACTTAGTGAGCTGCAGAGCCATGCTGATGCTGGAGCCTCTACCAGAGGAATTAGCTAGTTATGAGCCACCGAAAAGGAGCGTCTAGCGTTTAGACTTCAACGAATGCCGTTCACCCTCTTTGTGACATGTGTAATATTCTAAATGAAGCTTTTATGAAGTAAAAAACATCGTAATCTTACCTAAATATCATTCCTCGACTATCAGCTGTGCACACATGTTCAAAAAACGCAAACCGACAAATCCAAAGACGGATCTCTGCTGAACTCCTACCTGACGCTCTCTGGGATTTTGGCATTTTCTCTAAGTTGTAACAACTAAAACACATGGGCTAACAGAGGTCTGAATTGAGCTGTAGATGGGATGAGGGTCGGGGACTCCTAAAGGGGAATCCTCCCTCGTGACGTCTCCACAGCACCAACGTTTCTTTAATGATCAGGGTGGATCCTGCCATGGCTGGGCATCGTTCCTCTCTGCCTGGGCCCCCCCCCCATAGCCCCTCTAAGGCCGGAGCTGAGCGAGTGTGAGAGCCCAGAACCCTATGGACGCCCGTAATATCTGGAGCCAACACTGCGTGGACGTTTGGACTTCCGGCGTTATTCAGTCCAGGCCCTGAGGGCACTCCCCCACAGAACCCAAAACCCAAAAAAGAACTAGTACTTATACTAGTTCTAGTATAAGTACTAGTGTTATACTAGTCTTAGTATAAGTACTAGAAATGAACTAGTTCTAGTATGAAGACATGCAACAATGGTGAACACCAATGGAATAAATGTGATCTAAATAAGAAAAACAAGACAAACTTCAGGTGTTTTCTGTATTATCATCATAAAGTCTCATATGAGTCGACTAACCATGTGACCAGGACACACCCCTCCCATTGGAAGTCGGTTCTTTAACAGGATTTTCCTTTATTCTCCTACAGAAACCCATTTGATCCACGGCCGGTGTGAAAATGGGATTTAAATAGTCGTTTAAATCCGCCGTCTTACTGGTGACCGTCTTATCCGGTCACATCGACCTCCACTTTTTTCAGCGTCTTCCTCTGCAGATAGAGGAAAGCTTGTTTTTCCTCTTGGAAAAACAAGCTTTTCGGCCGGGGGAAACGCACGTTCACGATGACGGGTGTACTCGGAGACGGATGTTTGCGCTCCCCTCCTCATCAGGTCACCGATAGCTTAGAACAAATGAAAACCAGCAGAGCTCACCGGCTGCCCGAAGGAATGACGAACGCGGAGAGCTGGACTCATTTCGTTTTTCCTCCAGTGGAGCGGGATAGCGTTTCCCGCAGGCTGAAAGGGGCTCGTTTTCAGCTCCGGGTCGGACGATGTTTTGTGTGAACTTTGTGTGCTTTTTAATACGCCGGTCGCATTATTTGCTGCCTGCGGAGGCTCTGGTTAAACGCGCCGTAGGTAACACTTTTCCAGAGATGGACAGAAGCAACACACGGGTCAGGGGGCTTCCACTGAGCCGTGTAAGCCTCGGTCTCTCAACCGAGGCCAGGCATGTGGAGAGGCCAGCCAACCATATGCGCTCGGGACAACAGGAGGTGCAGAAGATGGGAAACAGGGCTGTCGACAAACAATTCTAAACAACCAGAGCGAGCCTCAAGGTTTTGACCACATTTCCTTGCTTAATCATCACCTTATGGACTGTTTATCTTGTAGAAACGTCCACAAAAAAATATAGACCAAGCACCGTCTTTTTTTTTTTTTTAGCAAGCAGGATCATTTTAGCATTGAATGAGAAAATTGCTGAACTATTTGCGTGTTTAGCTTGAGGGTGATAATCAGAAACACCAATTTTTTTTACTTTTTCCTGGTCCTTGGTGCCTCGAGTATGAGCAAACACGTGTCTGCAGTTAGTCCGACAAAGTATG